CACCTAGAAAATAGCAACTATTATTGTCATAAAAACTAATGTAGTGTTTAAATATTCATAAAAAACTAAAATATAACAAAATATAGTTAAAATCATAAATAATTAAAATTGGATAGAAACAAGATTGATATAATCTAACTTAAGAATCAATAAAGAAAAAAAAATGAGAATGGGGTTGGGGTCGTGGTGGCAGCATCACTTGTGCCCCAGCTAAGGTTTAAGCTTTCATTCTCACCTAATTTATTAAAAAACCACCAATGATTTCAAAAAACGGGTAGGGGCTCGTCATCCCATTGAATTGCCTAAAAACAAAAAGGAAAAAAATAATTTTTTCATTGCCATTTAAGATCCATGGGATCCATATATGATAAAATAATTTATAAAATGAAAATAAAATGATTATTTGATAATAGAGATGTGCGATACAATGACTAGAAGAGAAAATAACATGAATAAATAAAGTATATACAATCAAAATAATAATAATATTATTAATGTTAATATTGATATCAATATTAGTAATAAGTAATAGTATTTATTCTTTTATTACTATGTTCAAGTTTATAATAAAAAATTAAAACTATTCAATAATCTAAATCCTTAATTTTTTTCATTCTACTTGAGTTTCATGACCTGTGAGAGAGATATCGAACCAATTTTTCTACATGTTAAAAAATCATATTACAATTTGTAAAATATACCACTATTTTATTATTATGTTCAAGTTTGCAATAAAAAAAGTAGAACTATTCAATAATCTAAATCATTAGTTTTTCAATCTAATTGTGTTTCAAAATCTGTGAGAGAGATCAAACCACATATTTTCTATAAGTAAAAAAATCATATTGCAATTTGAAAAATATACAACTATTTTATTACCATGTTCAAGTTTGTAATAAAAAAATTAGAATTATTCAATATCTAAATTCTTAGTTTTTTCAATATAATTGAGTTTCACGACTTGTGAGAGAGATCAACCCACTTATTTTCTATATGTAAAAAAATCATATTACAATTTAAAAGATACTACATAGAGATAGAGGCAGACATTGTACATCCAATTTTTCTCTTGAGAAAATATTTTTGAGCTAAAAAATCATTATGAGAGATCAGTAAATTAATGAATTTGAGAGAGAGATAAATACATTGTTTTCTCATAAGATAAGGTGGGGCTTGATAGGCTTTTGGGTTGGAGCGTGAGGGTTGATGGTGAGAGATGAAAGAAGAGGTTTTTCCTAAAACGTTATTTTGGGAGGGAGAGATTGAGATAAATTAAATAAGAAATAGATGAGTGAAATTGAGGAACTATTATAGGTGAGATCGAGGGGCTGTTTGGGTCTATAGAAATCCATTATATGACAATGGATTACAAACAAATACGAAATTTCCTTGGTACACTTTAATAATAAAAAAATGGAAAGAGATTATCCGAGATTTTATTAAAAATCACTAAACCGATTACGTGTGGTGAGGGGTGAAAAATCGATTACACACCTTAACGGGTAATATTTGGAAAATCTATTACGCACGTTTGTCTTGCCATATGCCCGTTTAAAAAAATTCCAATTCGGACGTTTGTCTTGCCATATGCGCGTTTAAAAAAATTCCAATTCGCCATTCCCTTTCTCAAAGTCGTTGAGGATTTTACCAAAGCCAAGCTTCGCCATACTCTCTCTCGTCTTAAGCCATAATAATTAGTTTGCATATGTGCTCCCTCCCTTTCTAAGCCCACCTCGAGCCCTACTAAGAGCTGCTTCCTCTATCTCTAAGCCCGCCCATATCTCTTGAACTCTAATAACTAGTTTGCGTGTTCCCTCTCTCTTTAACCAGTTATTGTGGTATGGAGAAGCCCTAGTACCTCTTTAGTCTACTCCAATGCCTAAAAAATTTCTACAGTAATTACCAAACATTTTAGTTTATTAATAAAACTTATTCCAATTTTTTAACTTGTACCATAAAGATTTTGAATTTGGTATCATAAATTTATTACTTATTTAAAATTACATAGTGACATTTGAAATACTTATATAAAAATTAAATAAAAATAAGGTTTATCACAATAAAAACATGTTATTCCAATGACTTATCATGTTGAAACCAAAGTCTAATCATGTTATAAAACATGTGATTCTATGTAAGTGCCAAAGGTATGCAAAATAAGTAGCAATCAAGTGATGATGACTTTAATTCAGCATTTCAGTGGAATTTTGTGATAAAAAAAAATGAATGATAGTTTATAGGCAAGTGTTGATAAAATGTTGGAAATGCATTTCTCATATTTCTTCCAAACATAGCCAAACAGTAGCAATGCATTTCCCATATTGCATCTAAATACTATCCAAACAATAACAATCAATTTACAGGTAATGTATTACGCGGTAATGTATTATGCATGTAATATATTTCACAGACAATGTATTTCCAGGTATCCAAACGGCTCCTAAATGTGCACAAATGAACAACCAAGTTTTGACATAGGCTAGTGATTTGAAACCAAATAGACTTCAAATAAAATAATGTTGATATTTTATAAACCTTTTTTTTACTGAAATTATCAATTTGTTTTACCAAATTTAGACCATATTTACATCATTCAGGATTGAGATAAACTCAAGCGAAACACCTATTTTGGCTAAACCATCGTCAATACCATTGGACTCTTTAGACATGATGGAACGATATCGACAACATCTCCGCTAAATCTATCACTTAACCCAAATTGATTGAAGAGCATAAAAGGAATTATCTGCTCCTTTGTTACACCACCTATCCACATTTAAATAATCACCTTCCACCATGATGAGGTTCTTTAAGTTCATAGATTTAATGAACAATAGTCCTCTGAGCAAAGATGTGAACTCCATGAAATTAATAGTTGTATATCCAATAGGTCCAACATAGGCGAGAATAATTGTTCCAGCCCAATCTCGCACTACTCCTCTAATACCAATTTTGCCTGAATTACCAAGGGAGTTACTATCAAAGTTTAATTTTAAGCAACCTTGAATAGCAGGTAACTTTAAGCACCCTTTATAAACTTGGATATGGTTTCTACTCGTCTTAGGACTCACATCTAGAAATGAATACCATCTTAAGAATCCATTATTTAGATGGATTTTTAGACCCAATTTTCAAGGAAGATATAATCTCCAATAAGGATACCACGAAGATGTAAAAGTAAATAAATTATGAAATTTTTTTTAAAAAATTATGAAATATTTAGACATTTAGTTTCAACTATTTTTAGATGGACGTCCCATTTATATCCATTTTTAAGATGGATGCTTTATGTCTTAGGGAATGCAAATATAGAAATACGTGGAACAACTTTCCGATAAACTTTTATATGCAAATATTCAATATCAGCGTTTAGAAAAATGAAGGAAAAAATTCATAAAATTTAGAAAAAAAAAAGAAAAGAACCCACGTATTTAAAGGGCACGACCCTTTTATTTCCCCTTAAGCCAAAAGGTTTTATGTTCCTGTGGGAGTATACTGCCCATTTGCTCCCTTGAATAAAAATTAAAAGGAGTAAACAAGAAGTATACTCTTATATAAGAGTAATTTTAGGACCCAATTCTTGATGATCTGGCCTCTCCAACCAGAGGCTAGCCCTAGTAAAAAAATTATTAATTGAACTATCCATGTATTAGGAACAATGTTGTGGGAAGGGGCTCAGTCATGGTGGTAGCACCCCCACACCCTAGTCGTTATGTTGTGGTTTCTATCCCTATTAACATTACCTCACTAACACCTTAAAAAGAAGGAAAATTGTTTCATGAAAGCTTCCATAAAATTAAAGCATCCATCTTAAAGATGGATACAAGTGGGTGCTCCGTCTAAAAGCAATGCAAATGGTCCAAATGTTTTTTTTCTAGAATTATTATTTATAGTTTTTAAAATTTAATGTTTTTTTCTAGAATTATTATTTGTAGTTTTAATTTTTTTTTTATTTTCATATTCACGATCTCCATGTTAGATATTACATGTCCTTAAAAATAAAGTTTTAAAATCCCTCTAAAAAATAACGGGGTCCTAAAAAAAACTCCTCAACTATATGAAAAAGTAAAAAGTTTATATAATGGTGCAACCTTAAAATGTAGAATTACATATGCACCTCAAAAAATCTACCAGAGTATGTTGTTTTAATATTGGAAAACCTTATAACTGATCATCTCGACATCGAGATGTATGAATATAGAAAACAAATAAAATTTAAGTCCAAAAAATAGTGCATCCTGCCACACATTATCTATACCGTCCATTTTCAAGATTTTCATATGTTTATATATCTACTTGATTTTAATCATTTTTAGAGTTTAAAATTTGATAATTAGATATAAAAATAGATTTTCAAATAATTTTAAAATTTTTTTACACCAAAATTACATGTTATGATAAAATTTGAAGGTATGCTTTAATTGGATTGTTTGAGGTTGCAACCTTATAGAAACCACACGCTTTGAAAAAATGGGTAGAGAGGCCTATCATCTTAACCCTATTACCCAAATAATAATAATAAAAAAGTTGTATCTAGACCAAATAAAGACCGTCAATCTAACATTCAAAGGTAATAATGTAGCGAGTTTCCAAAATTTCAGACTGAAAAAGGTCTTCCAATTAGGTGTTTTTAATGAAGGGATAGATGCATACCATGCTCTGGCAGGAGCACAGCATGACTGGTAAAAAAAAGAGCAAAGGCCTTGCAATCGATCGTACTTTGGTCTGAGATTGGGTTACTTTCTTCGTCAGCAAGGAAGTGAGGGTCAAGGAGAGGACCGGCATACTTACGACAAAAGTCTCGCCCAGTTCAATTTTACTGTACCTTTCAGCAAATCCCAAGCTACACCCCTCGCAACAGGCTCCTCCCGAAGGGGCATTTTCGTTATATGCTTCGCAAACAGGGTGGCTTTCTTGCATTCGAAACAGTGACCTTTCTTCCATAAGAAGAAACCAGGGGCATTTTTGTCATTCGACACTGCTGTCTCGCCGATTGGTTTTGCGCCAAAACCAAAAGGAGCAAAAGTTTTCCATTTTGAAAACCTCATAAATTACCCTTGAAGCTCGTCCTACAACGAATCCCCTCACAGAGAGAGAGAGCGACGATTTTAGAGAGAGAGAAAGAGGGGAATCAATTTTAGAATGAGAGAGGAAATCTTGCATCATCGATAAGGACGGTGGCATGCACGCTTCCTGATTTGGCACTTCGCATGCGAGTAAGGATAAAAATGGAGTTTTAGAGAGAGAAAGTCGGAGGTCTCTGGGAACAGGGAGAGAGAGTAGTAGTGTTTTCTGGTTTGAAGGGAGAGAGAAACACCAAACCCTAGTGTGAGAATTAACAATGGCGCCTCCTTCTTCATGGAACCTAGCGGCCCTTCCGATCATGGCTTTGAAGGATCGCATAGTTGAGAAGATAAACAGCAACCGTGTCACTCTCATAGTTGGTGATACTGGCTGTGGTATGCGTGCCTCCATTTTCATTCTCTCTCTATCTCTCTACATTGCTTTGTTACAATACACACAGCATGAAGTCGAAACTTGCCATTGATGTCACAATTTAAATTGTTGCTGCAGTCTTTCTCTGTTAGTAACTTAGCATTTTCCACACTCTCTCTCTCCCTCTCGCCTATTTTTTTCCCTTTATTTCTCTTTCTATATATTCATTTTTTAGTCTCTCTGATATTAAAATTGGTGAATGATGTCGCAATTGAGCTTTGTTTTGGTTTTATTGCTATTTTTTTCTCTGTTGGTGTTGTCTTCTCTTTCCACTCCTTTCTCTCTCTATCTAGCTTCACTATCATGCATAACACGAGTATCTGTTATAGTTCAATTGGGTTTATGCGCCTGATGCGGGAATTTTCATTTTGTGTGATGAAAAAATTGATGATTTTTATAGTGTAGCAGGAACCTGCATCTTTTAGGGATGCAGGTTGTCTTGATGTACTCCCAGATTTATATTTGTTGGTACATGCAGTTTGGAGGACTAATATTGGCTTAAAACCTCATGAGGTATACTTGGGCTCTATGATTTCTTTCTTTCGTCACCATACTGAATAGTTGGTATTAATTAATTAGTCATACTGAATGGTTAAAAACTGTAAAAGATATTCGTGAATGCACTGCAACTTGCCATAGCATTAATTGGGATAACCACCTCCTCCATTTTTTCTTCTTGTTATTGATGTTGGCCTGTGAGTTTCAGTTTCAGGTATCAGTTCATGGGCTGAACTAGATTATAACATTCATGTTTGTCAAAATTGATGCCAAGGCAATAACATTTTGTTTACCGAAACTGTATATCATATGAATTTTTTATAGTTAACAGTCTTCTAGCTTGATCCTTTTTTGTATTAGGTTTTTATTTCGCTCAAAGGTTCATATGCATGATAGTGTTGGCCAGAAAACAAAAATAGGATCAGTATTTTATGTTTTCTGTTTATTCTAAATCTAAAATGTGATATGTATTTGTTTGAGCCACTTGCCTAAGTTGATAATATGTATTGACATTGTATATTTAACAATCATGCATCTACTTTTTTCCCTTTTATCATTAATGGAATTAAATTTGAAATTTATGATGTCACAGGGAAAAGCTCACAAATTCCCCAGTTCCTCCTACAGGCAGGATTGCAGCCCATTTTGTGTACCCAACCTAGAAGGTTCGCTGTCGTGGCAGTTGCAAAAATGGTTGCTGAAGCTCGTAGTTGCCAAGTTGGAGATGAAGTTGGATATCATATTGGTCAATTGAAAAGAACAAATCCATGGTATTTTCATTATAAAAAAACAAATTCATGTTATTTCATCCTTTTTGATAGTAATTTGCATTTCTAAACCACATTTTGATGAAATCAGGGTTGAATGCTTGCTTTGGGTTCATAAGCTTTATTTCTAAGATTTTCTATCTAGCATGATATTGGTTATCTTTTCTAGGATTTTCTGTCTAGCATGATATTGGTTGTCTTCTCATCGTACAGACATTTAAATTGCTTTTGTGCGCAGCCTTTGCTTTTGCTTTTGTGCTTTGTCTTTTACGGATCCTTCTTCCCACCTCCTCGTTGCATTAATAGACTTTTGTGCCTGTAGTTATATGTCAATGTACACATGCATGTGTAACAACATGCATGTGATTATGTGATATCACCACCTAAATTATTTTTCCTTGGCCACGCTGCACGTCTTCTTGTATTGTGTTTTGGATCAAATGAACTGCATGTGCAGACGTTTGTGTATCTTTGTGGCTGCATGTATGCGTGCACTGGGGTGCATGTGTTTGTGGTGTGCATGTGCGTGTCATAGAATTTGACTCATAATGCTTTATTTTACATCACTCCACTGGGTTTTTGTTTCTAGCAGGTTTTCTTTTTCTACTAGCAGTGAGCAATGCATGGGAGAGAGGGAGGGGGGGTAAACCAGTTAATCATTTGGAAAGATCGCAGTACCTCAAATAAAAATGGTTTCTTCAGAAGAAAATCTGACGGCAATTCATTTTCAAAAAGAATGATATATTTTGAGTTTCAAAGTTGTGTTTTAGAGCATTGCATGTGTCTTCTTACTACTAACTTGTAATTGATGCTGTTATTAAGGACTGGCATATTTCTAAAAGATCCTGTCGTAGGTGAGGGTATGATCAAATACAAAATTACTGCTCAAAAAGTGATCTTTTATGGAATTAATGAATTTAAGCAGTGGGATTTAGGATCGAAGTCTGATACATTCCTCCCCAAAACCCGTATTTAGTTTTGTAATATAGATGTAAGAGTTTTTTTAATTCTTTGGACTGTAGCAAGGAAACTGATGCTATCAAGATCCTTCAGGACAAGCATAAAAACTGAGGCATGCACAATAATAAAGATTTATTTTATTTTATTTTATTTTATTTATTTATTTCTGCTACAGGCTCGTGCCTCACAAAGGTCATGAATTTCCTTAAACACATCAGGCATTCTCCATGAGGGAAGGCCCTCCATTGTGCCCACTAAAGGATATTCAATGAATGGCCTAAAACTTATTTTTCTCATTATTATCATTATTATTTTTGTTGTTGTTACAATTATTATAATTATTGTTGTTGTTGTTGTTGTTAATGATAATAATAATATTAGTATTATGATTATTTAGTATTATAATAATAGTATTAGTATTATGATTTTTTTTAAATGTGTTAACCTATTAGTATTATGATTATTATTATGATTATTATTATTATTACTATTATTATTATTATTGTTATTATTATCATTACATGATTATTATTAGGATTATTATTATTATTATTACTATTATTATTATTATTGTTATTACTATTATTGCAAATAAATTATATTTGATGACAAGGGCCTTGGGAAAGATTGTAAGAAGATTCTTATCCTGGTAAGAAGGGCAGCGACCTTAGCACCCTTGCCATTGCCATAGGCAGTGAAATCCACATGCAAAACCTGGATAGTAAACGTGAAGAATGTTGGTGATTACTAATACTGTGCAAGAGCAATAAATGTACTTTCGGTTGATGGATATTATTCCTTAGTCATGACATATATGTTATTATTAAATGTATTTCTTTTTTTAACATACTAATCGTGGAACATTTTCCTTCCATATTTGGTTTGCTCCATTTCTAGACCTCATTTATTTGAAAAATGCAAACATTCCTAATGCCGAAAAAAAAAGAAAAAAAGAAAAGAAAAGAAAACTGTTTTACCTTAGTTCTTGATTAAGTAAACAAGAAGACACTGACTCGGTCAGTTCGAATTTTCCCTTAATTGTAGCTTGCAGAACTTCCTAAAGTACTAGTTCTTTGTCCCCCCTTCCCCTTTCATGCAAACTTCAGTGTTTATGTCAAGCCATGAACAAGTTAAAAGAAAAACCTCATCATTGGATAGCGAGACATCTGAGGAAATAGGACTTAAGTGTCCTCACGCTAGTATTGTGTTTGCATGCAAGACTTAATAACAAGTGGAAATTATACATATAGCTGAGACTGCGATAGGTTGGAGCTGTACCTCATCAATTCTGATTGTTAGTTAGGGTTTGTTGTCCTTGCTCTTGTTCTGGTGCTATTTATTATGTCTATCCTGCTGCTTTCTCTCAAAAGGTAACCTGAGAGTTTGTCCCAATGTCATTTGAGTGCAATCTTTTGACTAGAGTTCTAAGTTTACACTTATTGATGATCTATGCATGCAGAAGAATTCACCAGCAAAGCAAAAGAGCATAGTTGTTGCACGTATTATTATTGGCAAATCATAATTTTCTTTGTATTCCTTATTAGGAGATCTCTTGATAGCTTGTACTTGGTTATATATATATCTAGACTAGAGCTGGTAGGTGTTGCATGGCAATTAGTATTATTTCATTGTTGCTTTATAACATTGTATTTTCAGAACCCTAATAGGCTTTTTACTACCGTTTTATGTGCATGTCGTGTTGTTTGGTTTCCTGAGATCATCATTTTTCCCTGATGTTCAGATATGCGAACATGAGTTGACTCCTATTTATTGTAAGATGAACACCTTAACTGTAGTTGATAATTAAAAGGGCTTCATCTTCTTCTTTTCTGGGGTTCTCTAGTTTGTTTCTCACAGAAATCCAAAAATTATTGTTGCAGGTCAAAGATTGTATTTAAAACAGCAGGAGTCTTGATGGAAGAAATGCGAGAGAAAGGGATTGCGGCGCTTAAAACGTACAAGGTCATCATTTTAGATGAAGTCCATGAGAGATCTGTGGAATCTGATCTGGTTCTTGTTTGTGTAAAGCAATTTATGCTGAAGCATAATGAATTGAGGTTGTCCACTTGTCGCCATGTTATCTTTATGTCAGTCGTGAATTATATAATATTGATCCTAAATGACTCTGGGGAGTTTCATTTTATAATTCATTGGCCACTTCTGATTTATCGTATATTTGAACAGCAAGTATGGCAGTAAAATTACTGGTTGAGGGTACAAATTAAACCTCTTGTGCAATGAAATTTTAGAAGTTTATAACTTAGTGATTGTATGTTTCTTTTTCCATAAAAGGGTGGTATTGATGTCTGCAACTGCGGATATAACAAGATATAGGGACTATTTTAAGGATCTTGGTAGGGATGAAAGAGTGGATGTACTTGCCATCCCAAGCACGTCAAAGGAAACTATCTTCCAGCGGAAAGTTCTCTATCTTGAACAGGTAGGCAACTCCTCTCATGTTTGCTTCATTTTTAAGATTCTTTTGCTGAAGAAAAACATGGCAGATATTCCTTTTATGAGTCCCAATGTGTGGCCTTCTGTTTATTGTTTCAAGAGGTGAACATTAAGAGGCGAACACATTCTTTGTTTATAGTTGGCAAGGATTCCTCATGGTGTTATTTTTTGGATGCTTTTAAATTGAGAAACCATGCCCGATTTTCCTTTTGTGAAGCTCAATATGTGGGTCTTCTGTTTACTGCTTCGAGAGGTAACATATGTCATCTGTGCTGAGATCTGGTAGGGAAAGCAGTGTTTGAAAAGGAGGCGTCAGGCTTGGGGCCTCGGACTTATCCAGGTCCCAAGCCCAAGTCAACCATCTACTTGGCCAAGTTGGTGGTCAGACTCAGCCGCCTCTATAGATTTAATACACAGGATGACCAGGACTGGTGAGACTTTCCTGAGTTTCGGTGCTTTTCATCCAGTTCTAGCTCCCTGTGGGTCTGAATGATGAGGGTGAGTCCTCATGAGTCACCCAATATTAAAATACTGATGGGAAAAGGAAATCCAACAATAAGGTACCCGATACCATAGAAACGTGAAAGTTATGTCTTGTGCAAGGATTGTCTAGGCATTGTGGGCTACCCTTGTGTTGCACCTCATATATACCTAGTGAACCAAATAAAAAAGGGAAAAGAAGCAAGAGTTCACTATTATATATAATCTTTGTTCACATTTTGTTCTTGACTGTAACTTTCTTGCCAAGTTTTCTTGAGTATCTTTTTTCTTCCTATCAAATAAAATGAATTTGCCTTTGCAAGTTTGCCTCATGCAAAGTACATGACTTCTGTGCTGCATCATTTGTTACGCATGCTAATGTTATGAAGCTTATACCTTGCCTTTTTATTTCTTTGAATTTTTTGTCAAAATGTCTGGTCATTTTCTTTGCCTACAATCTGTGGCAATATTTTTTTAGAGAATATCCTATCATATTGTTCCATTAGCTTTTTGACGCATTGGTTGTTGTACAAGATCAATGCTTAGTAGTAACGAGTGGTTCATCTATGTAATGAGAAGGTTTTCTGTAAATTATGGCTGTTGGTCATGGCTAGTTTTTGTTATTTTAGCTGTTCAGACTCTCTATCTCATTTCTTTAAATTTTGGACCATGGGTTTTTTATTTTAATAATAAAAAATCTTACATGATATCTGTGTGTCTTTCTGTTCTTAGGCATATTTAGCCTGCTCTATGTTTGATTAGCAATGTTTGTTTAATTTTACATCTGGTGGAAGTTCTTACTCGGATGGTCACAAATTCAGGTCACTGAGCTTCTGGAAGTAAAATCAGATTTTTTGTCTGCTTTAGAAGCTGATACAATATCTTCGAGTTCTGTTGCTGATATCACACCTCAATTCCACAATCTTATACGTGATTTGGTTTTGTATATTCACAAAACTGAACCTGATATCGAGAAGAGTATTTTGATTTTCCTTCCTACTTATCGTTCATTGGAGCAACAATGGTCACTTCTAGCAGAATCAGAATTGCATTTTAAAGTGCATATTTTGCATAGCAGCATTGACACTGAACAGGCACTTATGGCCATGCAAATATGCAAGTCTGACCGAAAGGTACTCCATGTATTTAGGCCTGTACTCTTTCTAGTCCCTTTTTTGTTAGAATCATTGATACTATTAGTGGTTATTTGGTTCTGTAATTGTCTTAAGAGTACATAAATGCATCCATTTTACTTTATCAAGCTGGATTGTTCATCAACTATGAGGTTGCAAACATAAGGGAGGTAGTTTTGTGGTGTTAATTTGACAATTCCTTGTTTTTTAGAATGAAGAAATGTTTGAAACTCTCAGTTTATTTGAATTCTCAGTTTACTTATATATGGGAAGTTTATCAAACTCCCCATTGGCTAAATTAGATAAACCCGCATTAGATATTTAACTATTTAACATTTTACCCTTTTGCAACTATTCCATGTCATGATCATGCGTCTTTTGATGGTTATTTTGAAACTGAAATCAAAGTGGGAAGTTCTTTTGATGGTTATTTTGAAACTGAAATCAAAGTGGGAAGTTTATCAAACTCCCCATTAGATATTTAACTATTTAACATTTTACCCTTTTGCAACTATTCCATGTCATGATCATGTGTTTTTTGGTGGTTATTTTGAAACTGAAATCAAACCAAAAGACATGAGTAAAATGTTAAAGCAGTTAATTTCTTATGGCTATTTTGATAAACTTCCCTTTATTGATTAAAAATGTATGGTGTGCTCACAGGAGCAAATTATAGAGCGTATGACCAAATTATATATTTTCTCCTCTGGCAAAAGGCCCACTAAGAAAGATTATCTTAATCTGTTCTGATTGAGTAATTTTATAAAAAAAGAGGAGAGGATTTTTTAGTTCTTACATACCTATATCTCGCCATCCAAAAATGGATGGTTTGTGTTCAATTCTACAACGTGATCTTTTTAAGACACTTCCAAGAGTGTGCCAATTTTTTTCTTAGTTTGGTCGCTAGGTTGAGTAGGGCATATCTCCAATAGGAATGCTCCTAGCCAGGGTTTTGCCTGAGGAGGTAGCACTGTTTGGAAAGTTAAAACCAGGTTTAGTTGAGTCATCATATCAGCTCTATCCTGATTCAAATGGAATTGATTAATTTTTTCTGTGCCTCTTTGTGAAATACTCGGTTGGGTTAAAGTTTGATATTCCTGAGTTTAGCAAGTTTGTGGAGAAGCTCCCCTGACTTGGTTGACAAAGGGGAGCTCTTTGCAAAAATGGTGTCTCTACAATTTTTGTGGATAACCTCAAAATCATTCAAGGTCTGGGACAATGACGTTTGAGCATGAGAATGGGGAGTGGTGGGTTATGTTTAGCCAGTTTTGAACCTAGACAAAATGGATTTGGATTAGATCTGATATCCAAGGATTGGACTTTTTATAGTAAATCATTGGCAGTCTTCTAAAAATCTAAACCCCATTTGGTGTTCCATTTGTCTCGAGACTTGAAGGGATCATCAAATTAATGTTTAGGAGTCTTTTTATTTTAAGATCTTTTGCGTTTAGGATCATCAAATTAATGTTTAGGAGTCTTTTTATTTTAAGATCTTTTGCATTTAGGATCGTATCTTTCTCAAATGGCTTGATAGTAGTCTTTCTAATCTTTCTTGGATATATAGTTTTTATCAACGAATTTGATCATTTATAAAGTTTATTTTGAAAATTTTCTCTTCATTTTATGTTTTATATTGCACAAATTTGATTTTATTTAAGTGTTTGATCCTCGTACTCTTGTTTAAAATAATTCATTAATTATTGATATTATACTTTCCACTTTTAGTTTTGGGATAATTAATTAATTATTGATATTATACTTTCCCCTTTTAGTTTTGGGATATTTATGTCCTACCCCCTGAATATAAGCTGCCATAGAGACCCACTGTTCTTTAGGAATATCAAGTAAATCTTATTGCTTTAATTTTCCAATAAACCCCCACAGTTTTTTCATGTTATTTGTAACTGAAATGCCCTGCACTATATCTTTTTCCCTTTTATATATGGTACCAATATTTGTCTAGATACACTCATTGGGAAACGCCCCACATGTTTTTTCATGTTATTTGTAACAGAAAAAGCTATTTCTGGCTTCATTAGGAATGTTTCTGTATATTTATCTAGGGTAATTGTTTCCAAACATTGGCTGTAGTCATTGGCTGGAATCTTCATAAGAAACCTTTCCTTTTGGCTGGAATTTTTGTTGGAAACATCACTCTCCAAGTAGGCTGAAAAACCCTAACCCCTTGACTGGTCCAATGTAAATTTGATGCTTTCTAAATTTCCCTTAGAAACTGCCTTTTTGGGAAGCAATTGAGGGTTGCTTTCTACCTGCTGTAGAGCCCCTTACAGAGAGGTTGCCAATTTTGTGGCGGTTAAAATGTTAGAAAGCAATCAAGGGGTCGATTTTCTACCTTTCAAGCTCTAATTTTAGCAACCCAAGTTCTAATTTTAGCAACCCCTTGATTGCTTTCTAAGTTTGATGCTTTCTAAAATTGGGAAGGGTTGTGTATGATAAGAGAGCTAGGTTAGCAAGCTTTTCGGCTTCACAGGTGGCCATGGGAAAGCTCAAATTTGAGGTTTTGATGGTTTTCGAGCTTGAAGGAAATGGTGGCTCAATCATGTCTCGGCTTCACAGGTGGCCATGGGAAAGCTCAAATTTGAGGTTTTGATGGTTTTCGAGCTTGAAGGAAATGGTGGCTCAATCATGTCTCTCTAGTGAAGAGGCGGCTGGTCTATTTTCAAGTCCACCATTCGAAGTTAGCATTTGATGGCAGGAATATTAGTCGGAAAATGCAAGGAGAGCAGAGAAACCGGGATTTTAGGTTTTCGTCCAAATTTTAACTTTTTGCTATATAAAAAAGGAAAAATATTGTGTGGGGTATTTTGCTAGAAATACTTTGAAAGAATATGTGGGGGTTTTTATTTTGCTAGAAATACTTTGAAAGAATATGTGGGGGTTTTTATTTTGCTAGAAATACTCTGAAAGAATATGTGGGGTCTTTTGTTTTGCTAGAAATACTTTGAAAGAATATGTGGGGGTTTTTATTTTGCTAGAATACTTTGAAAGAAAATGTGGGGGTTTTGCTGAAAAAAATAAAGTAAGGATTTTACTCGATATTTCTTAAAAAGAGTGGGTCTGAAATGCAGCTTATGTTCGAGGAGTAGGATGTAAATTCCCTTCAATTTTCTATTCCTCAGACATTATTGTTATGGGAGACTTAGAAGATGTATTGAACTTGAGCACTCATTTTACAAACTAATGTAAAAGCTAGGATTGTTAGGATTTCACATGTGGAAACGAAAAACAATCCGCGAAAACAAGAAAGAAGAAACAAATACAAAAGAAAGAGACAACCAACCACAATGCAAAGATATACGTGGTTCGATAATGTGCCTACGTCCACAGGAGATGAGAGCTTCTTTACTGGCAATAGAGAATAGGGTTACAAGAGCTGTCTTTCTCACGCCTTTCAGTTCTCTCTGATTATAAAGAGATATGCATTTTTCCCTTAACTCTAAAAAAACCCCCCATCACAACAATATACCCCCCATCACAACAATATATATCGAGTCCTAGATAGATAGTATAAATTATCAAAATACCCCATGTACAGATATATATCGAATCCTAGATATATTGAATCCCATGTACGGATATCCGAAATTTTTCTCGAGAGCTGCCTCCCTCGAACCACCGCAAGGGTCGAGTCAACCTAGTCTACCTGGCTGGATACTCCTCCGGGCCTCAAGCCCTTCAGGGCTTTGGCTCTTTGGGCTTTTAACGACCCTCTAGAGTCGTCTTTTTGACTCCACCTTATCAGATCTATTTCCTCAGAATACAAGACATCAATCTTCAACAATCTCTACTGTGGCTTGAATTCTGTCGAACAACCTTGAAGATGTCTTCATCCTTGTACTTTTATGTGATTGCAGCCCCACTTGCCATGGGTTGCTTCCCTCACTCTCAACAATGAGTGACATTAAGCAAGTCCAAGCAAAGCTTGAACTTCTTCGTAGTGACCGGCTTTGTAAGTATATCTGCAGGGTTGTCATTCGTATCATTTTTTTTTCAGGTGAATGAGTCCTTCTAACACAAGCTCCCCTGATTTTGTGATATCTCACATCAATGTGTTTTGTCTTTGTATGAAACACTTGATTCTTTGCAAGATTTTTGGCACTCTGACTATCACAATGCAGCACAATACTTTCTTGCTCCACCCCCAACTCACGAGCCAAACCAGTCGACCAGATTGCCTCCTTTGCAGCCTCAACTGTTGCCATGTATTCTGCCTATGTCGTAGATGAGGCAATCGTGGGTTGAAGCATCGCCTGTCATGAAATAGGTCCACCCGTTAGTGTGAATACATACCATGTAGTAGACCTTCACTTGTCTAAATCACCAGCATAGTCGGAATTGACATATCCCGCCATATCTGTAGAGCTTCTCTTTCTGCTGAACATAATTTCGAGATCTGATATCCTGCTCAAATATTTGAAAATCCACTTGATTGCATTCCAATGCTCGTTGCCAGGATTAATTGCATTCCAATGCTCCTTGCCAGGATTACTCATGTATTGACTAGCAACACTAACAACATGAGATAAATCCGATCTGCTACAAATCATAACATGTATGAGGCTTCTGACTACGCTAGTATAGGGCACCAGAGACATCTGCTCTATCTCCTCATCCGTAATGGGACACTGCCGTTCAGATAACTTGAAATGACTTGCCAATGGAGTGCTAACTAACTTGGCCTTTTCCTTGTTGAAACGCTCAAGCACTTTTTCAACATACATTTTTTGAGTTACCCAGAGTTTATCTGTACTTCTATCTCTATGAATCTCCATACCAAGGATCTTATTAGCAGCCCTTAGATCCTTCATATCAAACTCATAACTTAACATAGGCTTGAGAGAGGTTATGTCATATGCATTATTGGCAGCGATGAGCATGTCATCAACATAAAGCATCCAGATAATAAGGGAATAATCATCAAGAACTTTAAAATAAACACAACAATCATACTCACTTCTTGAATAGCCAATCCACACCATGAAAGAGTCGAAGCGTCTGGGAGATTGCTTAAGACCATAAAGCGATCTCTTGAGCAAGCAAACTTGATCTTCCTTTCCATGCACCTCGCAGCCTTTAGGTTGCTCCATAAAGATTTGTTCCTCCAGATCATCGTGAAGAAACGCTGTCTTCACATTAAGCTGTTCTAGCTCCAAATCAAACATGACTACTAAAAAAAGTAATAACCTTATTGAGGTGTACTTAACAATCAGAGAAAGTATTTCATTGTAGTCCACTCCCTCCTTCTGTGCATAGTCCTTTGCTACAAGCGTAGCCTTGAATCTCTTACATTCATTTTCTGTTGCTGCCTCTTTCTTCCGAAAGATCCACTTGCACCCAATCACTTTCCTTCTCTTGAGCCTCTTGACAAGCTCCCAAGTCTTGTTCTTTTTCAGAGACTCCATCTCCTCCATCATGGCTGTCATCCATTTATCATTCTAAGCATCACTTAGAGTATTTTCGAAAGAGTCTTCGAAAGAGTCGATTTCTCCAGTACCAACTGTCAGAACGAAAATGAGTCTTCGAAAGAGTCGATTTCCCCAGTACCAACTGTTAGAAAAAGCTACCATGTCCTCAAAGCCGTATCTCATAGGGGCTTTGTGAACACACTTTTTCTTTCCTTTTGCCAAATTGTAGGGTTCACCATGTGGTTGCTGCTGTTCTAGTATGCAGCTAGATGATTCTTCCTTTTCTGGTATTTCAGACTCTTCTAGCTCCACCTGGACTGTTGATCTTTTTTCATCACTTTCATCTACTTGCACTCTGTCATCTTGCATGTTGATTGACTTCACCATGTGAGATTCATCAAACACAACATCCCTGCTAAGCACAACCTTATGTGAAGTAGGATCACAAAGCTTGAATCCCTTCACTTCCTTTTCAAAATCGAGAAAGATGCATTGCTTAGACGTAGAGTCTAATTTGGAACGTTGCCCACTTTGCACATGGACAGAGTTTGAACATCCGAAGATCCTCAGCATATAGTAATCTACCGGCTTTCTTGTCCACACCTTCTCCGGAATTTTCCAATCAATCGCTGTAGATGGTGACCTGTTAACGATGAAACAGGCCATGTTAACTACTTCTGCCCAAAAGTTTTTCTTCAAATATGCATTCAATCTCATACTGTGAGCTCTTTTCAGAAGAGTCCTGTTCATCCTCTCAGCCACACCATTTTGCTGAGGAGTTTGTGATGTGGTAAAGTGACGTACAATCCCCTCTTCTTTACAAAATTCTTGAAATTCTCTGGACTTGTACTCCCCTCTATTATCTGATCTCAAGCATTTCAGTTTCTTTCATGTCTTTCTTTCTACCTCTACTTTCCATTGTGTAACTTCGTGAATGCTTCACTTTTGTGTTTCATAAAGTAGACCCAGACCTTTCTTGAGTAATCGTCAATGAAGGTAATGAAGTATTCTGCCCTACCTTGGGATTTGATTAGTGAAGGCCCCCATATATGTGTGTACATAGTCTAGTATATCCTTGCTCGTATGGACTGCAGTTCTGAATCTAATCTTGCACTGTTTGCCGAAAACACAATACTTACAGAAATCCAGTTTATAGGCTCTGATACCCTTCAACAATTTCTTTTATGAAGTTCCATCATATGTCGTTCATTCATATGCCCTAAACGCATATGCCACAATTTTGTGTCATCTGTGCTGGACTCTACATCTGTGGTTACAGAAGTTCCACCTGTAACTGTGTTCCTTATCAACCTGTATAGGTTCCCAACCATCTGACCTTTCATAACAACCATAGATCCCTTACTAACCTTGAGGACTCCACCTGTTGTTGTATACTTGCAACCATTTGAGTCAAGGGCCCCCAAGGATATTGAGTTTTTCTTTAATTGTGGGACATGCCTCACATCTCATAAGATTCGTACTATCCCATCAAACATCTTGATTTTGATAGTTTCTATTTCAATGGTTTTGCATACCGCATCATTCCCCATTAGAACAGACCTACCACTATATAATTTGTAGGTTTCGAACCAATTTCTATTTGGGCACATATGAAAAGAACATCCAGAATCTAAAATCCAAGAATCAGTAAATTGATTCTTACGTGAAGATATAGAGAGAAGATCCCCATCATCTCTGTCAGAACTATCAGCCACGCTAGCTTCATCATATGTTTTTTCTGTATCTATCATCTTTATATCTTCCTTTCTTTTCGTGCAGTCTCTCTTCATATGACCTTCATTTTTGCAGTAATAGCAAATAAATTTGCCATTCCCCTTTGATTTTGACCGATTTCTGCTTCCATACCTCATTTCATTTGATTTACCCCTTTCATGACTATCTTTTGTTTTTCAAAGAAACATTCTCCTTGAGATTTAGTGCTGCTAGTCTTCTTCTTTGTTTCGTTTGACATAAGAATAGCAGTGACTTCGTCTGTCTCAAGAGTCTCCTTCCCGTACAGTAGAGTCGTAACCAGGTGATCGTATAATCTTGGAGGCGAAGCCAACAGAAGTAGGGCCTTATCTCCATCCTCGATTTCGACCTCAAGGCTTGCTAACTAGCTTATGATCTGGTTAAACTCCTTGAGATATTCAAGCAGATCTGTGCTTTCTTCCATCCGAAGAGAATACAATTGCTTCTTCAAGAACAACTTTTTCGTCAGAGATTTTGTCATGTGGATACTCTCGAGTTTTGTCCAAACCTGTGGAGTAGTTTCAAGGTCCACCACATAACGCAAAGCGTCATCTGATAGATTCGGAGGAATCGCGCTTACCGCCTTTTCCTCCATCTCTTGCCACTCTTCATCGTCTATCTTTGTTGGTTTCTTCGATTTCCTTAGCAAAGCCTTAGCCAGACCTTGTTGTATCAGAAGATCTTGCATCCTTCGTCACCAAATAGTGAAGTTGTTCTTTCCATTTAACCTCTCAATGTCATACTTGACACTTGAGCCCTTTCCTGTCATCGTGGTAGCAAACCCCAGAACGCGGAATAACCTAGTAAGCTTTGATACCAATTTGTAGAAACGAAAAACAATCCACGAAAACAAGAAAGAAGAAACAAATACAAAAGAAAGAGACAACCAACTACAACGCAAAGATATACGTGGTTCGGCGACGTGCCTACATCCACCGGAGATGGGAGCTTCTTTACTGGCAATGGAAAATAGGGTTACAATAGCTCTCTTCCTCATGCCTCTTTGTATACAAAAAGATTTGCGCTTTTCCCTTAACCCTAATTGGTTACCGACTTATATGCTTCATGGAGAGGGGAAATGTGTTCTATTGCGTCTTTGTTGATCCATTAAAATTATAAACAATGAAATTCTAATATCCTGTTCCAATATTTTTCTCTAATATTTTGGTAGCAGCGTTTATTAGGTAAGCTGTGAGAAGATAGAGTTCTTATAAAAGGTGACTGGTTTTTACTGAAATTGATTATAAAAGGTGACTGGTTTTTACTGAAATTGATTATAAAAGGTGACTGGTTTTTACTGAAATTGATTATAAAATGTGACTGGTTTTTACTGAAATTGATTTTGGTTTTTGTTATGGAAGATGCCCTAGTTGTCACTATAATATTCATATAATCCGATTTTTTTGTATAAGTGATTGTCTGGAAGGGTCTTTTGTGTCATCTCTTATAGTTTCTTATGTGCTTCTCTCAAATTATTGATCCCTAATTATAGGTGATATTAGCAACAAATATTGCTGAGTCATCTGTTACAATACCTGGAGTTGCTTTTGTGATTGATTCATGTCGATCACTGCAAATATTCTGGGATGACAATAGGAAGAGAGATGCTACAGAGCTTGTTTGGGTGTCCAAGTCCCAGGTATTGTGAATGCTTTCAGCCATCTTTTATTGTTATTGAAATGTTTTGGTTTTATTTCCTAGCAATGACTACAAGTTGCAATTCTTCAGTAACTGATGCGAGTATCTTTTCTGGAAGTAAATGTTAGGCTGATCAGCGTAAAGGACGAACAGGCCGCACCTGCGATGGCCAGATTTATAGACTGGTTCCCAGAACACTCTTCAATAGTTTTGTTCAGCATGAAATACCGGCAATATTGAAATTGTCATTGAGGAAGCAGGTTATTACAATTAGCTGCGCTGAATCAAAGATCATCTATGATCCAAGAGGTATAATTTTGGCATGTTGATTGATTTATTCGCATATTTTGTTTAATTTCGGATGTCACATACCTCATCACTGTGGGATATGATTGTCCAACAAGTGTTGCTGAATGAAGAGCTCGATTCCATTAAGCTAAGGCTAGAGTTGTTTGTTTTTGGCTGTCATGTGCAAATAATTATATGCTTCCTGTTTGTATGAAACTGTTTTAAGATAAACTAAAATGGTTGATTACAGTGCTATTCTTCATAAATGAGATTCGTTTATCATAGCAATGTTGGTTTTTGGTATTATTAAGGATTCATTGGATGCTGGTCACAGTAGTGTTGCTGAAGGAAGAGCTCGATTGCATCAAGCTAAGGCTACAGTTGTTTGTTTTTGGCTGTCATGTGCAAATAATTATATGCTTCCTGTTTGTGTGAAACAGTTTTAAAATAAACTAAATGGTTGATTACAGTGCTATTCTTCATAATGAGATTCGTTTATCATAGCAATGTTGGTTTTTGGTATTATTAAGGATTCACTGGATGCTGGTCAAAGTAGAGTTGTTAAATTGGTTGTTTTCATATAATTCATTTCTTATTAAGTGTCTAAAGTTGTTATCTGCCTGCTTGTGATTTGGCCAAACTCAGCTTATCTCCACAGTTTTCAGTTTTAAAGGATTCAATGGATGCTGTTAGCATGTAACTTGTTTATATAGGCTAACATTGATACTGGTAGGAAATCTTCATTGTTTGGCATGGCAGTTTAAAATCTGGTGCTAGAGTTTTGTTTTCTTAGGAATAACTGTGATTGGTTATGAATTAGGTCTTGCTTAATGGGTGCATTCCACATCCAGTAGCTTCAATGGTAGGAATTTGCTCGAGCCCTTAAATTTTAGACAATTATAAGGAACATCAGTGTGACCAGAAATTCCAAAAATATGTTCATTCGTGATGAATTTGGCATCTAACCATGAGGAAGGCAAACCCCCTTTTTTGGATGTTCCAAATGCCAGACCTCATTGATAAATTTACTTATTTCTGTACTGAATCTTCAGGCAATATCTTTGTAGAATCTTACATATTCATCATTAGTGGATAGAAACCATCACAACAAATTCATGGGTTATAGTAACCGCTGTCCATGGTTCCAATCTGTAGGAGGGTTGCAGTGGGTGTGGGAAACTGGCAATTGGGTGTATGGTATCATGGCATATCCCTCTGTTATTCATCAGAGAAATTTTTTATTCACTTATTCCCAGTCCTGCTCCCAAAGAAGCTTCATGTAGTTAGCTTGGATTTTAGGGATAATGCCTCCAAGGGAGTTGTTATGTTCAGAGTTGGATTGTCACATTGTGCCTTGCCATGGCAGATATCTTTGGCGTTGTCAGGTTAGACCTTGGACCTTGGAGAACCTAGGACGACGATATGTTTTGACCTCTTTGCCTGCATCGGGAACTCAAGCTCATTGTATAGTGGCTTGTTGCGCGACTCTTGATGAATTTTAGGCTGAATGTGGCACATGTTGGTCGGTGCCATACGATGCATATGTCCTTTTATTTTTCTATGGGTTGTGCCATGTAATCCGCATGCAAATGATGCGCATCACTAATTTGATTGCTGGAAGCTATATGTTCTCTGGAAATTGGAAGTTCCTCTTTAATGGAAGTGGCAACTATCATAAGGTAGTTTTGGGTACTTGTTTGATAACCTGCTGGAATGTTAAGGAAGTTCTAGGTATCTGTGTTACCTGTTGGAGGGATCAAAGAGCACTAATAGGTTCTTGGTGCTAAATGGTAGAGAGTGTGTAGTGTGCTGCCTGCTTCTTTCTAGTTTTCACGAGCACAGATAAAAACCCATTTCATATGATGATACACTGATCCAAGTAAGTGTATATTGAAACCAAATAAACATGCTTTCTTCTTTAAGAAACAAATCTTGTTTAGAGAAGGATAGCATGACTTTGAAAAGCCGAAGGTTGGTAACCATTTTATCCCAAAAGCCTAAAAAAGTCTGTAAAAGTTATGGAATATACTCGCATCTTTTTCCAGATGGGCACTTATGCTATTCAATCAGTAAATGATGCCCAATTTCTTTGTTTTGAGATTCAATCAGTAAATGATGCCCAATTTCTTTGTTTTGTGATGGGCACTTACGCGATTCAATCAGTAAATGATGCCCAAGGAATTTGTAATAATGAGGGACTATAACAGAGCAAAACAGACTAAGTAGCAAAACTTACTTCCAAAGATGCATTATTATCAGCCAAATGACACGTTCAAGAAGATGCTATTCAATCGGTGAATGATGCCCAAGGAATTTGTAATAATGAGGGACTATAACAGAGCAAAACAGACAAAGTAGCAAAACTTACTTCCAAAGATGCATTATTATCAGCCAAATGACATGTTCAAGAAGATGGTAATTTCAAAATCCATGCTTTATTTAACAAATATATATTTCAAAGTCCAAACTTATAAAACAAATTTTTTAGCAATGGTCTTACAAAAATACGACAGCCGACACTGCAAAAGGAGACAACACTTCAATTGAAAATGCAAAGACAATGAGAACACACAAAATGGACAATAACAAGAATGACTCAGGTCATGCACTCAGAGAGATTAATTATAGAGCCAATTTTAATACAGAAAATTCCTCACAAATTTTGTTGTCATATAAAAAATACATAAGAAATTAATCAGAATGGTAGCAATGTTACCCGAATTCAACCAGAAATTAGTCAGAATTGCAACTGGTAGTTTTATAAATTCTGTTAATACGAACGAATATTGAACTCAATAATCTCAATGTTTAGTGATCACTACTGGTCCAGATTTCGTCTTAATCCTAAAACTGTAGGGTTCAATGTCCTCTTTTAAACTCTAGGGTTCAAGATCCTCTTTTCTCTATCAAGCAGGAGAGAGAGAGAGAGAGAGAGAGAGAGAGAGAGAGAGAGAGAGAGAGAGAGAGAGAGAGTAGTAGGTAGGAGAGTAGGAGGTAGGCGGAGGAGAGAGGAGACGAGAGAGAGAGACGAGGTAGGAGGAGAGAGAGAGAGAAGAAGAAGAGTAGGTAGGTAGGTAGGTAGGTAGGTTAGGT